AAGGCTGTCTACACTAATAAACTGGCTTTTCAATTAGCACCTATGTGACGTTACAACGATAACACAAAACCAATTACACGCTGTGCAGCAGATAACTCGTAATCCACTTAATGGGTCTGATTTGACTTCTTCTATTTTCTTCTCCCCTTCCACCACTGCTGCCCCGGGGCTTTTTTCTCCAACCAGGACAAGGTATCACTTTGAATTATCAGTATTGAGGGCACATCTGAGATGTGAGATGAGCAAAGCTAAGTTCTCATGTGTTAAACACGTGGATTCACATTTACATGTATGCATTTATCTTTAAGTCTTTGTTTAGGGCTGCAACTAGCAATTATTTAAATTATCTATTAATAGTTGGTCTATTAAACACCAGAAAACAGGCAACATTTGTCATCTAAATTTTCCAAAAACCAAGGTGATGTTATCAGGTTTCTTGTTTTGACAGACCACAGGTCCAAAAACAGAAAAATTGTTCGTTTACTGTCAACGGAAACAAAGAAAATCAAGATCAGAACCATAACATGTTTGGCATTCAATTATGAAAATAGCTTCCAATTCATTTTCTTCTGATCGACCAATCGATTAATCGTTTCAGCTCCACTTCTGTCATTATCATTCATTTCACAATATCAGAAACTGTATACAGAGAGATTGGTAAAATATATTTCACAGAAAGAAAATATGACCGTGATAGATGTAAAAGATGTCTGCTTGTCAATCCAATCAAAACTGTATGCTGAGGAGAGGAGGCTCTCTGGAAGCAGCAGAGCTTAATAAGGAGACTGTGTGACTGCAGCCATTAACCAAGAGCTGTTTCAGCTGTGACAGATAACAGAGACCTGCCTCTAATGATGCCACAGAGTCACAGAAACAATCTAGCTCTTTAATTGCGAGGAGAAGGAACAAAGATTAGCTGCCTTAGATCTTTGCTGCTTGTGACCACTAACAAACCAAAGATGAACAAATATTGATGAATGATAATAATAGTAAAGGTAATCATGAATTTCCACATTTTAATCAAAACAGGTCTACTGTATATATAGCCCCGAGGGATCTTCTTTCATATGAGGCAACCCATCATACAATGCACAAATTAGTCATGATTTGCAGCAAAATAATATTTCAGAGGAATCCTTTCTCACGTCTCATTGCATGTTCTACCTTTTTAGGACCGCAAATAACAGCCTTTCTTTTTTGCTCCTGGCTGATTTGTACCAATGGATGAAAAAAGATGGTGCATGCAATTTTTCAAACATGGCAATTTGGTTAATGGACTCTGACAAAGCCATTGGCGGTCTTTATTTAGATGCAGATGACTTCCTCCATACTGGCTTCCTCTGTCACTGGAAGAGCCGCCTGTCAGGGAAAAGAGAAGAAAGCTTCCTCCTGTTTCTACAGACTGACAGTCAATCACTGCTGCTGTCTGTCTGTATATTAGGAGACTGACTGACTGCCGGTCTTCACTCCCCCTCGACCCCCTTTGGCTCACACTGTTTCCCCTTCACTCTGTATAAATTATCCATTAGTACAGCGAAAAGAGAACAAACTACCTCTCAGTTGGACTCGTTCATGTTTATGAATGCACAGAGCCTCACATGGTCATGGTTGTCATGATGTAAATGAAAAATGGGAAGTTGGCTGATGAAATACAAAGAGCTGTAAAGCTGTGTCTGTGCTTCATTACATCCAGCACCGTATCACTCAAAAGCATAGCTGCCGCTCCTAAACCCACCCTGGTTAAATAGTGTTTCTAAAGCTTGCATTATACACCATGACTTTGAACAAATATGCCGGCAAAAAATTAAGCTATTCTGTATTCAATTGCTGTATTGCTTACGGGATACGTTTTTGGCCTGGAAGAGTTGATAAGCATGCAACCAGCATATTGAAAGCACAGGGTTTTCCTGCTATGAAAAACTGTTGGGGGGGGGGGGGGGAGTGAGATAAGGAGGAGGAGTGGTTCAATGTTGAGACAACAGTGCCCTCTTGGGAAAACAAGCATCAGTCATGCCGTTGGATGTTTGTCTTACCACATAATTCTGTTGTTTGATGTTGCATCATGATATTTGTGCATACAAATAGCATCAGTATTTGCAAATCTGTCAATTAAACATTTCTGACATTTTCTCTTGTTTAATTTCACTGGTGTCACTATGATGAAATATACATTTTTGGCATAAAAAATACAGACAATCTGAAACTTTCTTCTTCATCTGAAGCTGTAGCAAAAATCTTGTGTGACTTGGGAACTTGTGCACTTCCATCATCACTCATCACTTTCATAATGCTTTTTGAACTTCTTTGCATTTTGATTGAAACTGCACCAATCTAAAACCGAACCTGCAATCGACGGAAACATAATCAACGACTACAGTACTTCAGTCATTTTTCAGACTTTGAAGACCTTTGAAGACGTTTGAAGACGTTTGAAGACGTTTGAAGACGCCGCCATGTGGTTCTGCAAAATTGTATGTTTTGGCTGAATAATCAAACAAATTATCGATAGTTTTAGCGATGATGAAAATAATTGTTAATCTCTGCCCTACCATGGTCCATTTAGTCTAATGTTTGTAAATTACTGTATTCCACAGAAGAGAAGAAAACAAACAACAAGAAAACAAATTAAGATATTTTCTTTGTTTTGAACGATTCCTTAAAGGCAGGAAGCTACAGACCAACTGGGAGTTCTACAACATTTGTTTCTGAACAATTAGACTAAAGCCCTTTGGGCTTGTGTTTTGAAGATGGTAGGATGAAGCGTCTTACAAAAATAAACACAACAAATGGAGTTCTGATAATTAGGCTTAAATATGACTTCTGTCTGGAAGATGTGCTAATGGAGATTAATCTTCAGTACTGTCGTAGCCTGAAATCCTCTGTGTATTTCATCACTGAGGAGAGATTAACACTTATCCACCAGAGAAAGATGATAAGTGGTTTCTTCAAGGCCACATAGGGACTGAGGCCTGTAGACTGGGGAAGGACCTGCACTGTACCACAGAAACCTTTTACATTATGTTAACCAGCTTCAAGCAAAGACCTTCAAAGTCATTGAACAAATGGCCCATGGCAAAGCCTCTGACATCCTGCAGAATGATTATCTCTGAATTCAGTTGAGGGTCAGCAATGAAATACTGTTGGATTTACACGTCTTTCATTGAAGTATTTTATTTGATGTTTATAAAACAAAATGTTTGAGGGCAAGATATATTTAAAAAGCCTTTGAGGAACCTAAATGAGACAGACTATATATTTTAAATAAGAAACTATTTGTTTCTCTGTTCTGTTGATGCATCCAGATTATGAAGGAGCATATCTGTTCAGCGTACAGTCAACCGCAAACACGCAGAAGCAGTCATTACTGATGACATTCACACGACAAAAAGGCCAATATTTGAATTGGGCGCATGGGGACAAAGGCATCAAATCAATGTTTTTCATTGACTTGAAAGAACAAAAGCAATCACTTCCTTGCATCTCTCTGATGAAAAGTAGAACAAAAACACAGTCCTGAATATTACGCATTTTATGAATCTTATTTCTGAGGGCAAGGACCTTGTCACAGCTGCCGAGATGGAGGGGAGGTGATTCTAGTCCCCATCTGGCTGCGTAATGAGCTCAGAGCGAGACACAGGCTTAATAATAGAAACATGCCATACAATAAAGCACAGTGGGAGCAAAACAAACTGTGGGGCTGTTGACAATAGCATAAAGGACCCTGCAATTTCTTTTTGAGTGTCTCATTTTATGATGCTCTTTCTCACTCACTGTGATTTGTCCTTTAACAAAATTACTCTAATTGTTCGACTTGTTTTTCCGGGCAATTTGCATGGGAGGAGGCAGTGGAGCTGAACCGTTTAAGTGCAAGCAGTTCATTGAAATTCATGCGGGAGGCGCATGCAGAAGTGGTCTGATCTCTTTGGAGTACCTATTTCACTGTCAAATAAAATGTTACAGCTTGAGGGAAACCTCTTCGAGGTGTCAGGAGTGAGGAAGTGGAGTTTCAACACCAAAGGGAAGATGTAGGGTACTCTTATAGTGTGTTTTAGGAGGAAATTATCTAAAAACTTGCTGTAAACACCTGATTCTATTCAGTACAGCACTTGTAGCAACACAAACTATAAGGAGTAAGAATAAACATTAGTATGTACAACTAGAAAAAATGTCAGAAAAGGGAAGAAGGTAAGGCTCTTTCTATGGGGGACTGTTTCAAAAGCTCATTTCAAAACATGTATTTCACTTGCATTATGTGACTCTATACTCTACATCTTTCTTTTGAAAGTAAGTTTTCACTGGATTTTCGTTAAAGTGGCAATACCACACATTTAAAAAAAAATAATTTAAGTAAAAGTACAGAAGTATTTGCTACCCATTGTACTATGAAGTATGAAGTATTCATTATGCAGAATGGCAGTCCTATATTATTGTATATTGGGATCATTATGATTCATCAACATGTAACATTAAGCAGTTAAATGTTGCATGTTATAATGTTGGATAGTTTAATATATAACAATGCATGTTATTTTCTGAAGTGATCATATGCTTTGAAAAGTAACTAACTACAGCTGTTAAACAAATGTAGTGGGTTAAAAGAACTACATCCCTCTGATATGTAGATCAGAAGTAGTACAGTAAGTATCCTAATACCTTCTTCAAAACTGTAGGCTACACAGCGCTTGAGTAAATATACTCAGTAATGTACTTTCCACTCCTGCTGCTCTGTGACCTCTGTGACGTTAATGTTGCCTACTTTAGATTGCAAGTACTGATATCAGACTGAGGAGTTGAAACAATAACACTACACTTGATAGCATATCTTTGGCTAACATACAGCATTGAAGCCCCATTAGAACGAACCCATCAATGCAAGAATAAAGAACTGAGCCAACGAATTTAACATCATACTGATTGTAGCGCACTTTAATCTGACGGCACATGCCGGGGATTGGCTCCGGAAGGCGGAAGGCACCGCTTCTTAGCAACCAAATTGCCAAACAAGAGCGAGCAGACACTCGGCACATTTAAATATTTCCATTTAATTGATGAAATGGCAGGCAAGAAGAAAGAGGCGAGTCTGCAGGTCGGACTAACACAACATGTCGTCTGTAATGTTTGCCGAGAGTCCTCTGTGTTTTAAGCTTAATTCATGAAGCTCTGATATTAATTCAGCTTTTCTTTGGTGCAGGCCTCTGTCACAAACCAAGAGCAGTGGGAGGAGATGCTTGCAACCAAAGGTTTGACGGGTAAGAGCTTTGAAAGTAAAATAAATTGCACTACTGTTTAGTTAGTTAATTTAATATTATATTTCATTGTATATATTGTGCATTTTTTTACATTTAATATTTTTACTTTGTTATTTTTTTATTGTATTGTGCATTTTATACTCAATCATTTTTATATTTTTACTATGTTACTTTGATTGCTTACCTGTATCTTAATGCAGCTGCAGCGAACAAATTCCCCCTTGCGGGATTAATAAAGTATCTATCTATCTATCTATCTATCTAGCTATCAAATTAGTGGTATGTCTCGTTAAAAGTGAATACTAACCATCATAACACTAATCATCTGTTCCATAATGTTGTGTAAAATGAACTCTAGTCATTGTGAGTGTAATTTATTGTATGTTGCTGCCCCACTGTGTTCATTTGGATAACTGCAGATTGAATGCTTGCACCAGTCCTCCCACCGTCTCTCTTCTAGTTGTAGATGTGTACCAACAGTGGTGTGGTCCCTGTCGAGCTGTGGTTAGCCTCTTACGCAAAATAAAGAACGAACTGGGTGATGACCTGTTACATTTTGCCACAGTAAGCCACAAGTGAATTTAAAACGTGAACAATTTCATTTCAAACCAAAATGTGTGAGGGAGCAGCCCTCAACTTGTCTGTGTGTGTGTGTGTGTGTGTGTGTGTGTGTGTGTGTGTGTGTGTGT